CTATAGGTCGGAACCAACTCGACGGCACTTAACAACAACAACGTTTGTTCAAAGGCTGTCTGTCTGCTAGACAGAGGTTTCTTATGTGTGATTCCACCCCTTTTCCCCGAGACTGCCCTACCTGAGCTGCCTGGTCAGGGAAGTGCTGGAAGCTTCTCTCCCAATTGGGTTTTATAGGCTGTAATCTATGGTGGATTCTTGGTGTGGTGCTGTACAATAAGTACTGGACTGCTAACTGCAAGATCAGTGGTTCAAACACACCAGCTGCTCCTTGGAAACCCTCTAAAGAGTAACTTTACATAAGTCAGAACAATTTGACAGCACTTAACAACAACAGCAAGTCTTTACAGTGAGTGTCATGTTGCAGGTCTTCCTCCCACTGAGCTGCTGAGTGGGTTTAAACAGTCAACCTTCCAGTTAATAACTGAGCACGTAACTGTTGGCTCCCACAGGGCTCCTTAGTTGTGTTTGTCAGTGTAGGACAGTATAAGATGTTGTCTTTGAGATTAAAGGGTTCTGTAATCCGTTAATGCTCATTTTCTGGATGATTACCTTAAATGAAGTCTGTGCTTTTAAGACCCCATTATGACAAATTTCTGAATTGATGTTTTTGTTTAGCATATTTTTATGATTGAAAAATCTTAGGTATCTTAGGAAATGGAGTACAGTTAAATAACAAAATTATTATTTGAGTTATAAACTCCATAATAAAGATGATTTATTCTTGGGTAGGGAGTCCTGGTGTGATGTTGCTGGAAAATATGCTAGACTGTAAGGTTGGTGGTTCAAACATACCAGCCACTCCTTGGAAACCCTATACAGGGTCATTATGATTTGGAACTGACTTGACAGCACTTAACAACAAACATCAGTTCTTGCGTGAGGTTGTGTTTTGTGTATGTATGTGTTGCCCCCCCTTTTTTTCTATTTTTTTCTTTAGTGGGAGTGAAATGCACATTTTAATCAAGAAAAGTGCATAAATCAAAGGGACGTCTCAGTGCCATAATATATCCGATGAGGAAATCTAAGAAATGGATTTCCACCATGATAATTTTTAACAAATATCTCAGCCTTAAGGCTTTTGTGGGTATAATGCCTTCTGTGGAGGATTAAAAGTTGTGTCTCTTATTTCTGCAGTAGGAACATACAACATATATGAAGTTTTCAAGTCTCCACAAAATTAAAAATGCAGTGTGGGTACTGTACTTTGAAACATGTGTATATTGTAGGCCTAAGGTGTTTTTTAATCTTTCATCTTTTTTGAGGATCAAATGTCATGAGGAAAATAAGCCATGGGCATTACAAATGTGGTGAAATTCAATATTCACAATGACAATTCAGAATCTGAGCTCCTTGGAGGGAGAGTTAACCCACCACTCTGACATTGCATCTAAATATCTTCAAGTGTGCCATTGGTTTTATGAAAAGGTTTTGATCTATACTCCTACTTTAAGTTCAAAAGAAAACCTACATTTTAAAGTGTATTCCTTTTCTGGGTGTATTTACTTTGAACTAAAGCATATAGTTTTTCTCATAAATCTAACCTGCCACTATCTGTTTTTAAGACTTTGTAAACTTCAAGTGGTTATGATGTGTGAAGTTTGGATTAAACTAATTTTTTTTTTTCAGAAAACACATGTTATATATATTTTGATTGTTTTGAATTTTAACATAGGCCAATCAAACACTTGAATGTCTAAAAAAGTAATATACTGTATTCTGTTACTGTAAGAAAGAAATCACAGAAAATTGCCTTTCCCCATCATGTTAGCGATAGACAAATGAAGCAGCTGTTCTTATTCTCAATGTAGTTGTTTGAGAAACTTGCACAATTTAATCAAAACGTCTCTACTCATAAAACTTAAAATGCTCACACATGGAAAAAGTCATCATGTTTTGGCAAATATTGCTTTCTTAGGAATGTGAATGAGGTATATCTGCTTCATAACTCGCATTGCATATAGATGGCGTGAAACTGCGATGAACAGCCAAATGAAAAAGAAGATATTGACAAAGGATGAATTGATGCTGTTTAAAAAAATATTTTCCCAAACATACTTGTTTCACAAGAAAGAATTATTATAACTCTATTTACTCTTATTTATTGTAGGCATCATTCTTGGGTCATCATTTCTGCTCAGCATAGATGATCTTCTCCTTAGAACAAGCCTCAAGGAAAGAAGTCGAGTTCTGATAGGACCATGCTGTGCTACTGCCAATCTGGAAGCTAAATGGTGTAAGCACAGCGGCAATCCAGGCCCAGAACAATCCATACCAAAAGTGTCTATTGACGTAAGAGGAGGACTACTACAGGTCTGTGGTGGCTGGCTAACCTCTCCCCCTAAGTTTTAAACTTGCCTTTTGTTCACGTTTTTAACTGTTTGAATTTTAAGTCATGGTGTGCTGAGAAAAGGGTATTTATTGTCAGATTGCTATCATAGTACACCTTTATGTAAGAGCTTTATTGAGATATATTCGCATACCCTACAATTCATTTGTTTACAGCGTGCAGTTCAGTGGGTTTTGAATCTATTCAAAGTTATGTAGCCATCATCACAATCCATTTTAGAACATCTCATCACAACCACAATACACATCCCCTCTCCAACCCCCATACCTATTAGCCGTGGCGTCCATTGCCTAGTAATCCAACCACCACCACCACCTTCATCTTTGCAAATATCAGTGCTGCATTCTTTTTATGACCAACTACTTTTCTGTTGTGTAGATATGCTTCATTGTACTTACCTATTCATTACTTAATTTAGGCTCTTTTCTACTTTTGGGCTATTATGAATTATGCTTCTATGAAGATTTGTGTGCAAGTTTTGGTGTGGATTTGTTTCCACTTATCTTAGTTATAAAACTATGATTAGAATGGTAGGGTTATTATAACATTTTTTTTAAGTGTAGACATTTTTTATTGAGTTTTGGTGAAGGTTTACACATTTTAGATTCCCTTTTGACAGTTTCCACTCACATTGTTCAGTAACATTATTTATGTTTATCCCAAAATTTCATCATTTGTCATTTCTCTGTCCACTTATCTTCTCATCTTTATTTTTGAATGATTGTTGACCCTTTGGTCTCCTACTGATGGTTTTTAAGTACTACTCTGGCCTTACAGGTCTTGCATGCTGTCCTCTAAAAGATGGTCTCAGGGGAAAGGCTGGGCTCTAGGATTGAAGAGTCTCACCGGGCTACTGCTTTCTGAGAGTCGTCTCTTCACTACTGATTCAGTTTGTCTGGCTTAAAAACAAACAAACAAACAAAAAAACAAACTCTTGGTCTTCTATTGTTAATGTTTAATGTATCAAATCTGTCCTTGTGATGGCCTCGAAATATAGGTAGAATATGTTCAAGGTCATATTTTAGCTCTCTGGAATGGGCTTGTTTTAATTTTCTTCAGCTTTGACCTTAACTTGCATATAAGCAATTCGATAATCTGTCCACAGTCAGCCCCTGGCCTTGTTTTGGTTGATAGTATTGAGCTTTTACACCATCTCTTCCACATATATAATCAGTTTGATTCATGTGTATCTGATTGGTGGGATCCATATGAAAATTTGTATTTTTTGAAAAACATTTTTGCAATAAAGATCAATATTCTAGCATTAGTGAGCTGAAATGGACTGGTATTGTCATTTAAATCTGAGAAGCATAAGTTACCTTGCCAGGAAAGACAAATTCAAGAGGAATGGTGTAGCACTAGTTATTCAAAGAATATTTCAAGATGTATCTTGAAGTACAGTGCTGTCTGTGGTAGGATGATATCCATATATCTACAAGGAACATCAGTTAATACCATTATGATTACAATTTATGTACCAACCACTAAAGGCGGTGATGAGGAGATTAAAAAATTCTATTAACATCTTCTGTCTGCAATTGTCAAATATGCGATCAAGTTTTATTGATAATTGTTGGTGATTGGAATGTGAAAATTGGAGACAAAAAGAAAGGATCAGTAGTTGGAAAATATGGTGTTGGTAACAAATGATGCTGAGATCACATGATAGAATTTTGTAAGACCGATGACTTAATCATTGCAAACAGCTTCTTTCAACAGCATGAAAGGGAAGGATTAGAGACATGAAAACACTGCCTTCAGAAGTGTTTATGTTGAGAAACAATCACTTCACATTTTGATATTTTTGTTTAATAAAGGTTTCCATGATTTTGTAGCACTATTTTTTTTTACTTTAACTTCAGATGTTTTAAATTATGTTTTCTTGATGGAATGATCCTTTTTTTATTATGTAATATCCTTCTTGGGAGTCCTGGTGTGGGTCTGTGGGTTAATACGCTGGCCTGTAAGGTCTTCTGAACCGCAAGGTTGGCGGTTCAAGCTCACCAGTCACTCCTCAGAAGCCTTAAACAGGGTTACCATGAGTCAGAATTGACTGTATGACACTTAACAACAAAGTCCTTCTTAATCTCTACTATTAGATTTAGGTTTAAAGTCTGTTTTATCTGATACCAGTATAGCCACCTTGCTCTTTTTGATATATTGGTTGCACACAATAATTTTGTTTCTTGTAGATAGCAAAAGGATGGATAGTGATTTTTTTTTTTTTTTTAAATCCAGTCTGCCATTCTTGGCCTTTTGCATAGGGTTTTAAAAACATTAACACTTAAAGTTGCTATTGAAACTGTCTGTCTTACTAATTTTGCTGTTTGTTATTTGAGTATTTTGTGTCTTTATTTGTTATTTATTCTGATTTGTATTTGGTTTGTATTTGGCTGCTTTTTTGTGAAAAATCTCTTTGCTTACTTACTGTTTTCCACTAACTGTTTCTTCTTGGTGATTTCTTAGTGGGTAGCACACACAAAGGAAAATTCAAAGTTTGTGGGAAGATGTAATTAAGAGATAGTGGAATTTTTCCTCTATCTTTTGAAAATCCCTCTTAAGTTATATTAGACAACTTAACAGTTACAGCAGTGTTTAGCATGTGAGCAACAACTAATATATAACTTAACATAATTAATTTATTCCTTATATGCTCTTCCCTCTCTCGGATTTGTTGATGTCTCCATTAACATCAGTATATCTATTCATTTGAGAAGCTTACTTTGTACTTGTTACATTATGTTGTTTTGTTTATGGGTTTTAATTATGAAGTTTATTCCCTGAGAATATCCTACACTTGGTCTTTAGAATTGCCTGTGTTACGTTTTTGTTGCTTTTCTGTCTCTCAGAGTTTTTATATTTTCATGTGTTTTGAAGCGAGTATTTAGTTACTGCTCATTTCATTCCATTTGGAGTACTCCCTTTAATAATACTTACAGAGGTGGTCTGGTGGTGGCAAATGCCCAAGTTTTTATTTGGTTGGCAATGTATTGATTTGCCACTCAATTTTTTAATGATGGCTTAGCTGGGTAAAGAATTGTTGTTGGTAATTGTTTCTGTTCAGAATTTGGTATTTGCCACTCCATTGTCTCCTGGCCTTTAGACTTATTGGAGAGAAAGCCACAGTGATTCTCATAAAAGACTCCTGCTATGTCGTAATTTGTTTTTCTCTTGCTGCTTTCAGAAATCCATTCACTGTCTTTGGTTTTCAAGAATTTTATTAGCGTGTGGCTCAGAATTGATCTTTTGTGTCTCTTTTCATTGGGGTCCATGCGACTTGTATTTACAGGCTCTATTCCGAATTGGGAAATTTTTCTCTAATAAACTTTTAGAAAATTATTTCTAGCCCAATATTGTTTACTGAGAGTCTGCTATTCTAATGATAGGTTTCTTAACTGAATACCACTTTGTATTTGTTAACTTGTCTTTGTTCTTTTCTCTTGAAACTTGGTAAGTTCAGTGATTTTGTCTTCTAGTTCATTTTTTATTTCAACTCAGCTTTTTTGTTAAGTCTTTGTCATGTTTACCCTAATTCAGTTGGTTTATCCTTTAACTCCAGTAGTTCTCTTTATTATATATTTTTTAATGTTTTCAGTTTGCACATTGAATTTCTCATTTTTCCCCTGTTTCTTCCCTGATCTCTGTTAGTTTATGTTCTGTGTGCTCTTGCTTTCTTTCCTTACCACTCACTCATCTGTCAGTTTGCAGGACTATGATGGCTTGCATGTTTCCGTGATGATGAAGCTATGCCACTGGTATTTTAAATCCCAGCAGGGTACACTCATGGTGGACAGGTTTTAGCAGAGCTTCCAGATTAAGACAGAATAGGGAGGAGAGGTGGACTCCTTCTGAATGCTTAGCCACTAAAACCATTATTAATAGATGTGGAACACTGTCAGCACCAGAATATTGAATACCGAAACATGATCGATAGCACCACAATATTGTCAGATATAGTGCAGGAAGGCACTCAAAATAAGACTAGGAAAGAGCTGCCTCTTCAAAGTAGAGTTGACCTTGTAATGATTCAAATGGTTAAAGCCTTCGGGACCTTCATTGGCTGATGAAGGGTTTAAAATTCATCAATAGGGTGTAGAGTTGCTCTTTCCTACTTCTGTATATTCTTTTGGTTTTGAAGTGTTAACTGGCTCTTTTAGAATTATTAGTTACATTGTCTTTATCCATTGTTATGAGAAATTTAACAATATAAAGTTTTTCATCCTCTCACATGAATCACTAATGAATCATTAATTGTAAATTGTTTAATTCCACTGGTCATGCTTCTACTATTGTCGTTGTTGTTGTTATTAGGTGCCATTGAGTCAGTAC